GCCCCACATTTTACAAGAACGTAGGAGGACCCGCTTGATTCACTTTTCAAACTTGAAAAATGAGGCATATTAACAAAGCACACTAAATGAATCAGCTGTTTAGGATGATCTACAAGCCAGTTCATTTTCCTGTTATTAAATAACAAACCATGAATCTTGACAAATGAACCCCACTAGTTTGACATTATTTGAAAAACTCATAACATGCTTGCTTCTGTTGGGCACTTCCCCTTTGAAATTAAATTTTGAGATTGGCTTTATTTAAATTCTGGTAGAGGGAAAGAGCTTGTTAACCTTCATTTTGACTGCATGCTGTTTAGCATCATCATTCTTTCCCCTCCGCCCCCCCCCCCCCCCCCCCTTATACTTGGCTCACCAGAGCTTTTGCCCGAGCCTCGCTGTCCAGGGCTCACTGCAAGGAAGCCAGTTGTGTTTGTTGGCGCCTCTGTCTTCAAGAGGTGAAGTTCCTGATGTTGTGGGGACTGCATGGCTTCTGGAGTCAGACCCCCTCAGTTCAGATTGGGGCTGTAGCCTTGTGACTTTGCAAAAATCATTTGCCCTGTCTGTGCCTCTGTTTTCTCATTTATAAAATGAGCTTAATATTATTTGCCTCATTAGGCTGTTATAAAGTCAACATATAAAATGATTAGCAAGACCCTGCCAGGTAGCTCAGTTGGTCAGAGCGTCATCCCTAGAGGCCAAGGTGGGGGGTTCAATCCCCGATCAGGGCACATACATGAACCAACCAATGAATGCGTACATAGGTGGAGCAACAAATCCATGTTACTCTCTCTCTTTCTCTCCTTTCCTATCTCTCTAGAATCAATAAAAAATGCATAGCAAGCACACATTAAATGTTACCCATGATTATTAGAATCTTTATCTTAAGAATAACATCTTCAAAAATGGATGCCAAGTCATTTTACTTAATTTACTAAGGATGACACAGGTACTAATCCACTGATTTAGCAGCCGCAACATGTGACTAAGAAGGCTCCAGCCCCCACCCCATAATCCCTAACAGCCCCTCCCAGCAATGCCACCATGAATAAACATCTGAGAAAAGCATGCACGCTTGCCAAGCATATTCGGCTTCTGCTTCCCGAGAAGTCTTCTATCTCCCCCTTCAATCCCAGTGCCATCCCAAGCCCTGTTTTTGAAAATCTGCCATTTCTACTAGCTTTAACCAATGGACACTGCAAATTCATAGCAAGCCCTTGCCTTGTAGCAGCTCAGTGTTACAGTGTTCAGCAACCCCAGACCTTAAGTGCTCACCACCCTTCAATACGATTTACAAAGTGTCACTTTGGGCAATATTACAAAGTCAGTTTCATCTGCAGGAAAATATTTTTTTACTACCATTTTAAAATTTCTTCCTCAGGGCTTTAAAAAGCTAATCAATGATAAAATTCCAAGTTCATTTAAAGATGAAAAATTGAGAATCAGTCACATTTAACCACTTTTAATCAGAGGGCTGCTGTGACCCATTAACCCCTAAAGATTATTGATGCTCCCTTTTTTTTAAGATGCTGTAGGTTAGTCGTTTGTCTTTGGCAGCCAGAGCATACAAAACGTCTTTTGCTTTTCGCAAATTAATTCATTTCAGCCTGTGCATTTGTCAGACATTCCCGGAACCTTCAGCCAATGTTTTGTTGATTAAAAGATGTGTATTTTGAAAATGGATGGAGAGGAAGGAATGTATAATTCTCAAAACCAGAGAGTGATTTATAATGCAGGCCGCTACCTGAATCATTCAGTGCATCATCAACACATGAATGAAATATTAAGAATTAGCAGGAGTGTCAGCCCCGGGTCTTAAAGTCTCTGGATCAATTGGCTGTTACACTGAGAAAGTCTACCCCTTTCAGCAGAATTTCTAGAACTCACAAACAAGATGATGACAGAGAAAAACACCTTTGTATAGTTTCTTCAAAGGGCTTTTGAAATACACCCTTTTCCCACAACAATCTGGTGCTTCCACTCCTATTTATAAATTACGTACCTTGTTTCCATGCACACAAGTTCCCGCTACTCATTCCAGATTTGATTTGCTTTGGACTGTTTGTTTAATCTCCCCCCACCCCCAAGTGAATACATTGGGCCCTTTGCAGGGCACAGTTATTGTTTTAGGCACCATGCAATTTACTAAATGGTGCCCCAGTTGTGTAAAATGCTCGCAAAGATCCCTGAGGGAAAACAAAAGAATTAAGTCAACACATATTGATCACCCTATAGTTGGTGCTTTCTTCTATCAATCAAGGGCTCAGTCTGAACTGGTCCATCGGATCTGAGATACATAGAGCTGGAGACATTCTTCTGGCTCTTTGGTGGTTTAAAAGGCTAGGCAGTTGGAACAACTGCTTTTAAACAAAGCCTCATTTTAAAAGAAGCCTGAGTACAGAATGGAATTCAAAGAATTTAGAGGGAGGGGAGGGGAAAGTGGCAAAAAAAACCCAAACCCTGGGAAATGTAAGAAAAGAAAGCACATGGGAAGTAAAAGATAAGTTCCATCTGCCCTGTTGCAGTACACAGAGACCAGGATGCTACTTCAGCCAGGATGTATTGAACACCTACTAAGTGCAGGGCTTGTAAAGAGGTAGAGTTAAGTATTATGGATGTCCGAGAAGCGAAACACAATTCTTAGCTCAAGAAGGAATAGTTTTTCATGCAAACCAAGAATCTTTATGCAGATATTAGATTCCAAAAGGCAATCAATATATGCCATTTTATTCAACTATTGGGGACAGAAAATATTCTCCGGTGTAATTCATTTTAAAATTCGACATTAAAAGTGTTGTTCACAAACTCACACTAAAGAAATGGTTGAGAAAAATGTTTATTTCAAAGAAGCGAGTTGGGGCCTCTGGGGTTTGCTCCTGTCATTCCAGCCCTGTCACCTCCCCATTTCTTAAACAAACTGCCTAATACTCCCTTGACCACTTTGTGCTTGCATTTGACGTTGGCTTATCCTGTCTTATTCTTCCCAGACCCAAACCCCCAGTTAAAAACAGGAAAGCCTGAGGTAAGGGAGCTTGAAGTCCTTTACATTGGAGATGGTTCAGACCCTGGCTGGCCTAGGGAAAAAGTAGGAATTCAGAGGAAAGGATGATTCTAGAAACCTCACAGAGACTTTGGTTGCTGACGGTATTTTGAGATTTAGGATTAGGGAATGGATGAAGTATAAATCAAAGTTCTAGCATGGAGGCTGGAAGGATGACGGTGACATGGAAAAAATGGGGTAATTGTGATGGGTGGCTGGTGTGGAAAGATGGGAGATGAGAGTAGATATTAGGAGTTGCATTTTGACAAACTGCCTCTAAGAGGCATGTCTGGTAGTCATTGGAAATATGCACTGGGGCAAATAGGAAATCCTGGAAATGTGTGTTAAACAGATTGTAACAGCAGGAAACAAGGCTGGATACTGCTAAAATGTGCCCTCTTGTAGGGATTAAAGGCTGTGTTTATTCCATTTTTATTGTACACCATGTAGCCTAAGTATTGATTAAGCACCTACTTGCTATTTGATAAGTACATACCTCCCACCCCTGATAAAATAGCTAATGTGTCTTCAGGTTAAAACTCAGCCAGAAATGTCCCCACTGGAATCTGATGAATGTGTTTATTGTGCCTGTAGGTGGCATTCTGAGTTGTGGTTGAGGATATCTGGGATAGTTATATAGACTAAGATCACTGGCAATGCAGAAATGAATGACAAATATTACCAGTATACATTTGTTTTTATCGTTAACATTTATTGTATACTTACTAATTTCCAGGAGCCATTTTGGTTGCATTAGCTCACTGAGTTTTGGTAAGAACCCTATGACACGGGGGAGTACTATTTCTATCCTCCTCACATGAATGAGAACGTTGAGTCTCAGGGAGGCTAAGGCACGATGCAAAGGTCACAGAGTCCATAAGAGATGCAGCAGGGACTTCAACCCAGGCAGTCAGTGCAACTTTAGAATTTCTGATGATATGCCTGTATGAAAAAGCAATAAAGTATAATGAGTAATATATCTACTTATTTTGGCATGTATAATTAAAAAGACCCTCACATTGTATATCTTAAGTTGCTGGAGGTCATTTTATCATTTCCAATTTCTCAGAAAGAGTCTGACAGTTTAAAGGAGTCATCTGCTGGGGGAGATTTTACTCCCAGGGGACATTCATGAGTGTGTGAAGACATTTTTGGTCGCCATAATTGGGGGATAGGTGCTGCTAAAATCTGGTGGGTAGAGGCCAAGGATGCTGCTACCACCCTCTAATGAACAGGACAGCCCTCCAAAAAAAGAAGTGTCCTGTCCACGTTATCAATAGTGCTTAGGTTGAGATCCTGGGTTAGAGTGAAATAAAGGGGACCTTGACTGAAGGGAGAGAATGGTGGCTGAGTCTTGCTAACAAAGTCTTTTTCCCCAGGAAGAAGCAGGTTTGGGAGGGGAGAAGAGATCAGATAGATTCATTCATTTGCTTGTTTACTCATAGAATCACCACTCACAGAGTGATTTCTTTGTATCAGGAATTGTGCTGGAGAGTAATGCGGAGGAAACACTCTACGGGAGTTGCTTTGGAGGAAAGGAAGGAACAGAGAGTTAGAGGCAAACCAAAGATGGTTGGCTATTGAACATGCGCTGGGCAGAGCTTTGGTGTCAAGAGTGAGTTGTGTTCTTTTGCCAGAGAAGGAGATAACATGCTACCTTAGAGGTCTCTAAGGAAAGTCACAGTGGACAGACTCCGAAGCCATAGGCTGCTGTCAGGAGCCCCTGGGAACTTCATTATGTCCCATTTATAGCAAGCTCACGCTGATCCAAATGCAGGGCCAGAGAGGGGAGACGGCATCTTTTGTTCTCAGAAGTCCACAGAGTCGTGATGTATATAAGTATGTGTGTGCATGTGTGGATCCGAGAGGCCGAGACGCTTGCATTGCTTTCGAGGTGCTCTGCTGGCCTGGGAATAGGTGCTGGCTTTGTTTTTCCAGTAACAGCCTTTTCTGTTTCCAGCAGTCCTATGCACCAGCTCCCCACCCCATGGCTCCTCCCAGCCCCAGCACAAACAGCAGCAGCAACAACAGCAGCAGCAACAGCAGCGGGGAACAGTTGAGTAAAACCAACCTGTACATTCGAGGCCTCCCACCAGGCACCACTGACCAGGACCTAATCAAGCTGTGCCAACCGTAAGTGCCCTTCTGCTCTGCGCCTTTCTCACCCACATGCTCGCCCATGTGGGCTCTGACCACGCCGGCCTTGGCTCTTGTACCCCATCCTCCCATCCACTGGTGTCTCAGTGAGGAAGATGCTGTTGTCTGAAGGGATTTAAATTTGAGATCTAAGTCCAGCTTACTTTAGGGAATGAATTTGTTTATAGTATGAAGTGGGGATTCTTGAGCAGATATATATGGGAGTGCTGGCCGGGTGTGCATGTATTGACTAGGAAGATAATGGGCAAGCATTGAGTTGGGCCCTGAAACCTTGTGGTTGGTGGAGTCCATGATGAATCTCATGAGAAAAAAAAAAAAAAGAAAGAAAAAAAAGCTTACTCCTCCCCTCCCCCCCCCTCCCCCGCCCAGAAGTATTAGTGGGGAAATCTCAAAAACTCAGAAGAAGTGATAGATTTCAGCATGGTTATCTCCTGTGTTGCAAACTTCCTGGCCAGTGCTTGTAAATCTCAATTCAATGGGAATCAAGTAATTGGAGAATTGTAAGGCAAATGCTCTAGTTTCATTAAAGACATCTATTTCCAAGTCCAGTGAATCTACTTTCCACCAAGGCCAAGAGCTACACTCGCCAAGTAGCTTTGTATTTTCTAGGAAATGTGGTAATGATTAAACGCCCTTCCAAAATATTTCTGTTACTCCATTATCTACCAACACATATTATCAACTGTCTTATTTCTCTGACAATAAATCAAGCTATTTAAATTTACCTTCCAAATCACAGTAATGCTGGGTAATGAATTAAGAATCATAGAACAGTACTTGTAGGTTATTGTCTGGTGATTTTCAAAGTCCTGTCAGCCCCCTGTTTTGTGATTTGATTGTGCCTTAGCTGGGCATTTTTAAATTAGGGGAAACTATTACTCAATTGTTCTTTTTCTCTTTTGCAATCCTTTTACAAGAAGGTTGAGAGGATATTTATTTTGTAAATTTTCCAACCTCTAAAATATTGGAAGAGGAAAACAAAGCAGGCAGTATTTATTTGCCTTTGTTCTGTTTTTTTTTGTTGTTTTTTGGTGTGTGTTTTTTTTGAGATTGAGAACAAATAGCAAAACAACAGGAAGTGGCAGATAAACCAAAACACAAATAATGTTACTATATAACCAATTGACTAGGCAGTATGTGGATTAGGGAGGGGGCACTTTGGAAAAAAATTTACTTAGAAGCAGTTTTAAAAAGGAAATGAAATGTGCCAGGGCTAAGACATATGAATATGTTAGGTTTTGGTCTATAAAATGTTGAGGTTGAGAATTGGAGGGTAAATCACTCACTTTTCTTTTGTTCTTGCTGTTAGAAAGATGTAAGCCATTTTGAAAAGTAAGAGCTTTGAAAATGTGAAAGATTGCAGCTTCAGATGAAGTATCTCCTCAATGGAATCCTATGTGAAAAAGAAGGGTAGCTATTAACTGTTCTGTATATGAGTCTCATTCATAAAAAGAAGAATTATTGGATAATACAGAAAGATTGTTTCCCATACAAGTCAGAGCATTCGTTGAACCATAGATTTCTGGGGCCCAAGAAATTATGATTCACTAGGTTTGGGGCCCAAGCATATGCATTTCTCATGGGTTCCCTGGTGGTGTTGTTGATATTGCTGTTTTTTCGGGGGGATATACTTCTCTCTGTAATAGTATGAAGACCACTGACTATTTCTAATGCATCAAGTTTCACTTAATATATGCCGGTCATCGAGTTGGACCTCTGTGCATTACAACCTACACAGCCTCTCTATGATCTTGAGGCAGATCATGGATCCTCTTTGAGCCTCAATTTCCTCTTAGAAGAGTAGGTTACCCTGTAGTATCAGTGGTGTGGGAGGGCTGCCTATGATTACTGCACTAGAGCCACTTGTTAAATGTTCTGGAAATCTGTGAGTGATTTGTTTCAGACTCAGTATCTTGAAGTTGGCCATGGTGGGAGTATTTGTATCACAGGAATAAGGGAGCCTTACAAATCAGGCATTTAACTTTTTTTTTTTATCTCTTTTTATTTTTTGGAAAGCTGGTTTATGCATATACCACTGATAGAGCATTATACTATGAAATTTTGTGTCGGTATCCATTTCTGGAAAAAAAAAATGTTGCCAGAAATGAATAAATGGAAAGTGTTCCCTAAATGCCTGTATTGGCGTTTTTAATTTAGCAAAGAGATTTAGTGACACAGAAACATTATTTTTGAGAAAAGAAGTTTTGTTTATATTTCTTGTGTGCATTTGAGAAATGTAAAGAATGCTAAGAGCACAGAGGGTAATGGTTACATGTTCATATTAATTTTTGCTAGCTAATAAGATGTGGCTCATTCTAATGTTACTGTAAAAATGTTTATGGGTTTTCCAGCTACTGAAGTGGTCTAGACCTGGGGTTTATTGCTTAGATTCATTTTCCTCGAGAATCTTATAGAACGAATGTGATCGGGCAGTGGGATGTAATAGAAATAGCTGTGCACTAAGGGGTCTGGGTTTCAGTCCTGGCTGTGCCATCAACTGAGTAGTGGCCTTAGACAAAGGATTTCTCCCCTCTTCACTTTAGTTTCCCCATGGAGAAAACAATGTGTTTGAACTCGATAATCTTTTAAACTTTTTTTTTTCATTCTAAAATCCTCTTATTTTATTGAGCCCTTCATTAATTAGCAACAAAACCTGCTCTGGGCCACCTTTTGTATCTTTCAACCAGTCCCCCTTTGCAGAATGGTTAGACTACAGACTAAATTGACATAGCTGCATGAATCTGACCTGATGGCTGGAGATGCCTTTGCTACAAGACGAATGCAGGTCATGTGTCAAGTCCTATGTCCTCGCTTGTAGTGTTGGTTTCTTCCATTGCTCATTACTGTTTTACATGAGCAGTCTTCTAAAGATGCAAGTCATTTTGCATTGGGATTACTCATCCAGAATTTTAAAATAATTTCATCTATAAAAAATAGAATATTTATTGGTTTAAATGAACTTGATATCAGGATCAACTTTCCATATTTATTCCTATGAAATTGTACGTACTTTAGAGTTAATGGTATCTTATAATATAGAAAATGCAATATTTGCTAGTATCCATAGTAATGAAATGATGGAAAATAGAGATATACAAAAATGGCATAGATATATCGAATTATCTATATTTGAATGCAATATTCATGTTAATACTAATGGACAGCAAGGAAATTATATTAAAGAAAAGCAGTTGCATTATTTCACCATGAATATTCTGAGAGCAAATTCTGTTAAAGTATCCCATTCACATTCATCATCAAATCTCCTATGTTTATATTGCAAGACTGAAAACTAATAGACATGAAGAATGACTTCACTCCATGGAAAATCTCTAGTTACAACTATGTTTTGGATGAATACATTGCATTGTGTGTCTTGTAGGAAATGCCTTATAATGTCTTCACCTTGAAAATTCTCAAGGAACTTTATTGTGTTCTCAATCAAGCAGTATTTCTAGAGTACCTCTGTTGCATACCAAACAGTGGGCTGAAGATTCAGTGGTGAGTACATGGAGAGAAGGGCCTTGCTATAGCAGAGCATATGTTTTCCTCGACAAAATAGGATGTCAGTTAAATAGTTATATAATTTTATATGAAATTGCAACTATACATACAACAAAGGAGCATGGAACTAAGAGTCTTTGCAACATGGGAGGGTACCTAGTTAGGACAATGAGCAAAGGCATCTCTGAGGAAGTGGCAGTTGAGCTAAGATCAGAAGGAGGAAGAGGTTTCACTAAGTGAGGAAGGACAGGAAGGACATTCCTGGTGGAAGGAACTTCATGTGTGTAGGGCTATTGGCTGGAGGCAGCATGACAAGCATAAAGGGTTGGAAACAAGGCCAATGTGGTTATAGCAGAGAGAAGGAGTTGGAGTAAGGAGCAGTATGAACTAGAAACATGGAGAGGAATAAGGTGATGATCCCTTTGTACATCAGGTTAGGAGCTTTGTTTTACCCTAAGAGCAATGGAGAAGATCACTAAATTATCGCAAACAGGAAGGTAACAGAATTTGTTTCAAAAAGGTAACACCAACTGCATAGTGGAAAGAAAGGATCCCATGTGATCAGGGAACAGTCAGAGTAAGAATAGGTGAAAAGTGATCTGGTAGAAAAATAAGTTATGATTAGAGAAGCAGGCATGAGACTTAATAATTGTGATGTTGGAACAATTATGTATGGTGAAAGATGTCTTTTTTTCATACGCATTTATTTTCCTATTAAAAAGCAAGGACTTAAGAGACAACGAAATGAACTCCAAAAAGAAACAATGAAGTAGCACCAAATAGGACCCAAATCATTGATTTTTAGTCTCTTTTTCTTACCTAGTCATGAGTGGGTCATCAATATAATATTAAATATTGAGTGGCTACAATATTAAAAGCACTAAAGGCAAATACAGTGGACCTTGAACAACTTTGAGTTAGGGACACTGACTCCCACCATGAAGTCGAATATCACATACAACTTTAGACTTCCCCAAAACTTACCTACTAATAGCCTACTGTTGACCAGAAGCCTTACCATAACATAGTCAATTGACACATATTTTGTTTGTTATATGTACTATATACTTTATTCTTACCATAAAGTAAGCTAGGAGAAATGTTATTAATATATTAAGAAAGTCATAAGGAAGAGCAAATACATTTATAGTACTTTACTGTATTTATCGATACCATAAATTTATAACATCTGTTCACAAGATAAAGTATCTGTCAGTATCTGTATCAATATTGTCATTATAATGCAAAACACTGTAAATGTTATATGTATAACTAACAAGAGACATCAAAAATGAAAAGGTATTGTGAGAAAGAAATTCGTGTTTATTTACAGGTTTAATGATCCTTGCATTGATAACCAAGAAGCAGCAATATGATTGCTTTTTGGTAGTCTAGAATAATTGATATGATTGCTTCAGTAGTAGTAAGAAAATCTCCAAACATTTTTCCAGTATGTTTATTGAAAAACTTCC